ACCAACAGCTTCTGAATCAAAAGTTAAACTAATTCTTTCTCCAATAATTCACCACCCACTTACCTGACTTAAAAAAAAAAAAATGCCACAGGAGATAAGTTCCAGGTAAGAGTTCAGGCTTGTTCTTGTTTTATCTTTTTTGGGCTCACCCATCCTTAATCATAGTTTGTGGCAAACATTGAACCATTGACTGAGTCAGAAACAAATGATAACATGAAAGAACAGGGAAAATGTATTTTAATCAGAAAGTTAGCTCCAGGTTGTGATCTCTAACGAGCAGGACCAGCACTGGATTCTGTGCCCTGCAGTGCCCTCTTTCATTAGATGAATGTGGATAGAAATTGATTTTTTTTTTTTTTTAATGAAAAGAACAGGGAGAAATTAAATGAACACTGAGCTGAATATGCTGGAGTTTGTTGCTGTGGTTTTATGTGCTTGCAAGCCAATGTTAGGGATGAAATTCAAAGATCAATGGAAAGTCGTAAATTATAAACAAATTTAGGAATAGATTGATATTTATGAAAGCCTTAAAGACACCAACTAATTGTTTGGGGAAATATAAGTGAAATGCAAAAAACCTCCTCATTATTACCTTGGGACAAAATTATTACAACACAGGTAATTAGATTTAGTTCCAATTTAATACCTGTGCTGTTCACCCAGCCCTAGGAATAATCTGCTTTGTAGCAGCAAATTTGAGAGTGAAAACTGCCCTGAATGTGAATTAACAGGAGTCTTAGTGGAACCTGAGAATTTTTTGCCATGCACAGAGTGCAGCCAATTTCAGCAGCACACAGGAGGGAATGCAGTGAGCCCCTGGAATACAACACCTGAAACATAAAGATTTGAACAATTTTAGGAGCATTCGGTGCCTGTGGCTGGAAGGAAATGTATTTATCAGAGATAAGCTGCTGGATCTCAGAAATCTGGAGGTTTTTGAGTTTTCTGTGCTTTAAGGCACAGACCTCCCAGAAAACACTGCTCTGAACCTAAAACCTTGGAGAAAGCTTGTAAATATGAATAATGAGTTAGTAAATATGAATAATGAGTTAAAAATCACAAATGTGTAGTGAGTTAAATGTGTGTATTTTCACTGAATAATAAGTTTAAAGTTTTTATAATATAGTAGCAGTAATGAAAAAAGATAGAAAATTTTAGGTGGTGTCTTTTTCTTTGTTCATCTTCTTCTTCCACCTTCTTCACGAAACTTAAGTAGTTGTTTTTGGTTAGTCAGTCTAATGACACTCTAAGAGTTGCAGGAATCTATTGTTAAGTAAGAAAAATAAATAATGTGTTAAACTTTTATTAATTTGTTTAGCTTTAAAAAACCTTAAAGCAAGCTCAGCTGTCACCATTTTTCCTACTTCTAGCCAAAAGCTAAAAGTGCTCTCGTACTTTCTATAATTTCTGATAAGATATAATAAACATCCAAACCCAAAAATCGTCTCAATCGCCTTTCTATTAATCCTAACTCTAAAAAAAAAAAAAAAAAAAGTAATAACAAACCACTAATAAGTGGTGCAAAGCCCCACAGTAAGTCATGTTAGGATAGAATCACACAATAATGGAATACCCTGAGCTGGAGGGACCCACCAGGATCCCCCAGGGCAGCCCCTGTCCCTGCCCAGACCCCCCAACAATCCCAGCCTGTCCATCCCTGGCAGCGCTGTCCAAACGCTCCTGGAGCTCTGGCAGCCTCGGGGCTGTGACAGAGCAGCACAGCCAGGCCAGGAGCTGAGAGCAGCCCCAGGGAACCCATCCTGCTGGAAACAGCTCCTGCCACTGCGAGAGGGAGAGGAACAATTCAAGATTTAAAGACAGACTCTGATAGCACAGGGCTGATCCTTAAGGAGATTTAAGATTTTTTTTTTCTACGCTCCATTTTTAAGACTGATGATTGTAAAACAATTTCTTTGATCCTTTTTTTTACTGAGTATCTTTTCCCTAAATTTGCTGTCATTCCAGACCATATTCACAAGATTTCCCTGGCACAGAACCAAGATCAAAATGCTTTTGTCTTTGCACTTGCATTGCCTTCATTCCTTTACAACTGTAGCCAAATACAGCTCAGTTAATTGTAGCTCATATTGAGCAATATTCTGGCAATCCTGCTACAACTCTGCCCCTTGGATTATCACCTTATCTGCTACTTTTCTGCTGATTTCCCAGGAATTTGCAGAAAACCATTTGCTGCTTCTTCTCTGACAATTATTTGCAAACAAACTGGTTTTTATGAGGGCATTTCCTTACAACCACTCAACACAATTAAACAAGACATTCAGATTACTTCCCCAGAAAACATCACAATGATTGCTTTAATTTTCTATTTATAATAATTCAAGTTATTGGTTCACCACTATTCCCCCTTCCCTGATGCTGACTCAGAAGGGCTTCTAAACACTGCACTTTTGGCCACTTTTCCAGTGAAAACACTATTTATACAGTTACAAAATTGTAATTTATATAATTATATATTGATAAAGCTTTCCCAAATGCTATGAGTAGTGGTTAGACTACCATGCTGAAGACAACATTAATTTGGGGAGGGACTGATCCTGACAATTTCCACCCATGTTAGAAGGTGGCCACTGGTTTGGGATCAGAGAATGCAGAAGCTCATTCTTAACCCTGGGGAAGTCTGAGCTAAATAAAATGCAGAGACTGGAGGTGCAAGTTTACCACTGCTTCAGAAATAAAAACTATAAAGACAAGGCCCCATAATATTCACTGATATGTTAAATATCACACCAAGCACTCAAAAAACACAAAGAAAAAAACACTCGACAGTCTTGAAATTTTTAAGAGATGACCTCCAAAATGGAGAAGGAAATTTCCTCTATTATTTGTATTTCTTGTTTACATCAGGGCATTTCCCAAGGGCTGCATTCGTTCCCTGGATGAAGAAATAGGAAGCAGCTGTTGGGGAGCAGATCCACAGGGGCTGTGCAGTGCAGACCCCTCAGCCTCTCCAGAGAGCTGACAATGTCCTGGCTGTGTCTGCCAACCTGAAAAGGTCACAGGCTTAATGACAAACAAGCAGGAATTGAGCAAATACTGGTGTTTATTAAAGTTTTTCCAGCTCTCTGACCATATCAGTGTCCCAAAGCCGTGGGACACCTGAGGGTGGGACCTGGCTGCCATCTCAGCTTGCTCCTCTCTTTCCCTGATCCATAAAATAAAAGTCCTTTGCAAGAGAGGCATCAGCACGCTGATAATCACCAGACACAAAATGTGTTGTTAGTGATATCACAAACATTTACAAAGATAATCTCTGTGCAAAACTCCCTCGAGAAAAATTAAAATAAAAAGAATAAATAGACAATGACGACGATGCCAGTACATAAATATTTTCCATGCAAACTGCTGGTGTGAGACAGAGTGACTTCTTTGGCTTTTTTCATATTTGCAGTAGATTTATTAGAAGTTTATGAGACAGAATATGGCTTTGGCTATGCACCAAGGTATGAAAACTGACAAGGAGGAGAACATCAAATCCCTGAGGACTGAGGGAGAAAGTGAAACTCTGTGGGCTGGTGTGAAGTTTTATCAGCTTGTTGGCATCACTCCTGAGTGTTTAATCCAGAGATGGCACAGGGAAAACAACTGAGCTGCTGGAAAGGTTTTATCCTGTGCCACAGCAATTTGTACCCTCTAAGTGCTTGGGTTCATAAAAATGCTCAAGTGCTTCTACACATCCCAAAATACTTACATGCATTTTACTGCAATCATGTTTTTAAGATTGTTGGTGTCAAAATTGCAGCTAATCATGTTAAATATATCCCTAAATGTCTTGTAGGCACAGTTTCCCTATTGGAGCTTAAGTAAGGAGGAAACAGCAGAGCAAAAATGCATAGTTCTTATCCATCCCAGAAGAAATATGTTCCAATATGATGAAAACCAGGATCCCTGCTGCTGTTGAAGACCAAAGAGTGGATAATTGTACAGCACAAACAGACATGAGCACACCTGAGCATCCACTTGATAGAAAACCTGATGGAAATCCACAGAATTCCTGAGGGGTTTTTGGGTTGGGAGGGACCTTAAAGCTCATTTCATTCCAGCTCCCTGCCTGCCCCCAGAGCAGAGGCTGGTCCCTTCCAACCCAAACCAAGCTGGGATCCCAGGTTTATATTCAATTCTCTCCAGTAAGAGCAGAAGGGACCTGTCTGTCTGTCTGTCTGTCCTTTGAGTAAAAAGAAAAATCTCCCCCAGAAGGAAGCTGTCTGTGCAAGTGCTGAGAATCTCTAGGTGTGGTTGAGAAGACAAGAAAAATCCAAAAATAACTAAAAACCTGTTTGTGTTGGCCTTAGACACTGAAGTCTCTGGTCTTCAAAGCATATCCTAAAATTCTTTAAAGTATTAAATCATGGTCATAGATTAGAAATAAAAAAAAAAAAAAAAAAAGATGATTTAACCTGGTCATCCAGCAGATAAAGGCATCAGGGAAGTCAGGAATGTGGCTGATGGAGAGGTGAGCTCTGCAATTCTCAGCCTCTGCAGGCAGCAGAAGCTGAAGGGTCCCAGGAGGAGCAGAGAGGGGGAGCCAGCAGAGCTGTGTGAGCACAGCACTGGCACACGAGTTTTGTGTGAGACTTGGAACTGATCTGTGATTTTCCAAGGAAGAACTAAACTTTGGATGTAGAACCTCATGTTCAAGAACAAAATCGCAGGAGCAGAGGGTGGGGAGGCTGGTTGGGGCAATAGATGCAAATAATTAAAATTTAATTTTGTCTTCCTCAGTTACTAACAAGGAGGTTTTTACAGCTACATTGTCCTGATTCCTTCTTGACTGCTTGGTAATACAACAAAAAACATGGTCCAGGAAAAGCAGATTTGTGGGAATTTCCACTGGACTTCCTAGATTAATCTTGATTTTGGGTGGAAAGTTCAAAGTAGTTTCTCTCTCTCCCCTGTTTTTTATGTGAATTTTCCCCTGCCCATCTGGGATATCCCATCCAAGTTGTTAAATTCAGCTCAGGATTATCCCCCCTCACTCACAGGAGCTCTCAGAGTGTGGGCACTGAGCAGAGCTCACTCCAGGTGTGAAGAGAGGGGAGCACAGCCCAGCTCCTGCTGCTGCCCCACTGCCCTGGGATCACAGGGATCAGGGACCCCACTGCCCTGGGATCAGAGGGATCAGGGACCCCACTGCCCTGGGATCACAGGGATCAGGGACCCCACTGCCCTGGGATCAGAGGGATCAGGGACCCCACTGCCCTGGGATCAGAGGGATCAGGGATCCCACTGCCCTGGGATCCCTCTGATCTGGGATCAGGGAGAGGAGCTGCTGTGTTCCCAGAGCTCTGACCCCTCTCCCTGGCAGTGAGGGGACCTGAAGCTCCTTCTGCTCTCCCCTCTCTGCTCACTGCTGAGCTCACCAAGCAGAGCAGAGGAGCAGAGGGAGCCCTTTTTCCCCTTTTTTTCCCTTTTTTCCTTTTTTCCCCTTTTTCCCTTTTTTTCCTTTTTTTTTTTTCCTTTTTTCCTTTTTTCCCTTTTTTCCTTTTTTCCTTTTTTCCCTTTTTTTTTCCTTTTTTCCCGTTTTTTTTTTCCCTTTTTTGCCTTTTCCCGCAGCATTTCCGGAGGGAGCCCGGACACCTCTGCTCATATCCTGCATTTGGCTGCTTCTGGGACCAAAGGGAAACCTCAAAGCAGATGGGATTTAGCTTACTTACATTCCCTATAGCTAACTCAGATTTTATTAAACACAGCTGTAATCCCAGACTTCTTCAGATGTGTGAGCTCACTGCTGACGTCACTCCTGGGCCTTTGGAAATCCAGGCCTAGCAAGAATTTTGAGGGGGAAGGAAAAAAAGAATAATGAGACAGAGAAATTTGTCATCATGAATTGAGCACAAAGATGTAAGTTTGTAACTGAGCCCAGAACAATCCTTTTGTTCTTCACATCCAGCTTAGGCTGAGAGCAGAGTCCACCAAATAGCACAGAAAAAGAAGAATATACACCAGATTAAACCAGGATAAGGCTGCACTGACTTCTCCTTATACCAACTGCCTTCCCTGCATTCTCCAGACCCCAGCAGCACCCTGTGACCTCCTCACAAATTTGGGGCTCTCTCAACATCAACAGCTCAAGAGCAAATTTAGTTTAAACGTTCTCTCTTGATCATAACCACCTTTCTCAGCTCAGATTTAAGTTTATCTTTCTTTCAGAGCCAGCAAATAAAGCAAACCTCCAGGAGAGAATAATCCAAATCACTGCACATTAAAACAAGGTTGGTTTTATGACAGTGCCACAATAGACATCATGTAAGCTGCTTTTATTCTGAACACAATCCTTTTATCCCCAGATTGTTGGAGTGCCAGTGGTATGATAGTATTGTACAAATACTCCTCCTAAACTTCATTTACAGCATTGAAGTTAACTGAATGCACGAGTTCTGTCACAAAAGATCTGACATTTCCTTTTTTAATTTCCCTGCTGATATTGCACATCAGTATCAATAATTTAACAATACCTTTGTTTCCAAAATGACCGAGACAGAACAGAAAAGTCTTGTTGTTGTAAAGGGGAAAAATCAAGTGGTTTTTTTTTTGCCCTAAACAAATGATAAGCATGAAACTAAAATGTGGATCTAAAAAAAAAAAGTTCCTGCTGCTGTAAATAAGATCTCTAATTTAATTTTTCCTCTCCAGAACAGCCCTGATTTGTAAGAGTGCAGTTAAGTTTTTCATCTAAAATTATTTTTAGGACAAATGTCTGCACATGAGGGTTTTTAGTACTGCTGTTGTTTTAAACTGCATTTATTCTGGCTAAGGCAGTGCCTCCTACAAGGCTGAAACTGATGTCTGGAGAACAGAGAGAACTCCATAGGTATCAAATTCCAAATATTTTATTTCTCTCCTAAAAGCTTTTTACAGAGCCCGTTGTGCAAGGAGCTTTAGAAGCTCTTGTGTCACAGCCAGGGCTTTACTATCCCAAAATGATCCTGTCCAAGATTGCTCATTACAGCTAGGAAGTGATTCCATTCTGTAAAGCCAACAAAAGATACTCCCATGTCATGAATTCCAGTCAATTATAGCCAAATTCAGCCCATGGCCTCCTACTGTAGTTTTCCACAACCTCAACATGGCAACAGAAGAGTTTATATCTCACTATGTGTTGCTAAATAAAAATAAACTACAAAAAGGAGCAGTGGGGTGGGAAACTTGGAATTCAGCACACCAGGAGTCTGGGATTTCAAACTGGCTTTTGGCCAAGCTTCAGGAGCACTTGGGGACTTCACACATATTTCTCTGATAGTATTATGACTTCTGTTTGTATTTTATTTTCATTTCCCCCCTGTCCTCGCTCCACATGAGCAGAGCCTGTTCCCAATTTGCCGTGCAGTGACCCAGGCTTTAGAAACACCCCTTGGAGCAGAGTCACAGTGGCCGTGCTGCTGGGGACCCTGGTGGCTCTGATTTTGGGGAGCAGCCGTGCCCCAGGGCAGCCCTGGCAGGGACAGAGCCCAGGCAGAGCCTGGACAGGTCTGGGGGGAAGTGAGTGAGGACACATTTTCCACACCATAGCCAGAGGCCCATCTTACGGGAAATTTCAGTCAGTAAAAGCAGAATGTTACTGGAATGTTGCCGTCTTTGAGCTCGCCTGGAATTTTTTATTATGATTTGAATTTGGAGAAACAGGTGTGAAAAATCCATCCCGACCCCAATTGGGCTGGCTGGGATGTTGGAGCTGTGTGGACTCTGCACAAGAGCTCCTGCCTGGCCCAGGTACCTGCAGACAAATCCCTGTTCCCAGTTATCCACAGCGGTGTTCCCTGCCTGCCCATCCCAAGGCAAGCCAGGAGGAAAACATTTGGCAATTCCAACGATGTTGTGTGCTCAAAGAGCTGCCAGGTGGGGCTGGGGGCTTCCTTCTCCAAGGAAAGGCACTGCCCTCCTCTCTAGGAGCCCAGCCCTGAAATCTGGACATTACAGGGAGGTGAGCTGGAGCATCTCAGATCCTTGGGAGCAGCCACAATGGAATTCATTTTCCTCTGGAGCACAGGATGCTCAGTGAGCACAGCACCTGTTCAGTCCCTGCCCTTCCCTCAGGTGAGGCATTGCAGGATGGATCCCCTGGAGCCTGCAGGGATTTTCCCTGCCTGTTCCCCACCCCATCCCTGCTCCCCACCTCGGGCACTCCAGGCAGGGCTGCCAGGGGCACATTAACCCTTGCTGCACTCACTGTGCCTCTAGCACAGAGCCAGCAGGGTGAGTGCAACGTTACTCACTCCAACACTCCCACTTAGGAGGTTTAATAAAGGTTTTTAATGAGTCAGGACAGTGAGCAGGTATAAGCAAGCCCATATCCTGTTTAAGTGGACGTGCCACAGTCCTACAACACTGGGAAAAAACAAGGTAAGAAGATCCTCAAGGAGGCAGCCAGACGAGGAATTGGGGAAAAAAATATGCTTTTTTTATTCCCTAGGGCTCTCAGTTGTGAGCTGTGTACGTTTAAAGACATTACAATTGAGAAAGGACAACATAATAGAATTTACTCCTTTCAGCAGCTGGCTCAGACAGCAGAAACTTGGGTTGAGGGGGTCTCAGATCCAGAAATGAGATTTAATAAGTACAGAGAGTGTAACAAGCAGTGCCCCAGTGAAGCAATTTGCATCTGCAGGCCAATGGACACTTGAGGAAGTTGTTAAAATATAATCTTGGAAGTGACTCTTGGCACCTGTGCCTGTTCCAGTGCTGTGGTACGGATGAATAAAATAACACGCAGTAAAAGAGGAAAAAATTATTTTACATTCTTTACATTGACTGAGAGACAAAAGCAAACAGCCCAGTAATGGGAGCAGGGAACATACAGAACGTTCTGGGTTTTCCAGCTTAACTCATGTCCTGTCCAGAAGCTGGCTGCAAGGGATGCAGTTGGTGTAAGAGCAATATTGAGAGCAACAACAGGAGTCTTCAGGATTCCTCTTCTGAAAGCAATCCAGGGAATTAATACTTTCTGTACTATGCATTAAAAAAAAAAAAATACAAAACAACAACAAAAAAAACCAAACAAGCAAACAAAAAAACCCACAAAAAATCAGAACAGAAAAAGCCAACAAAACTTTCCCTTTCTGGTTCCAGTCCTTTCACCTTGTTTTTATTTATGTGCACTTTGCCAAGGTGAGAATGACTGGGATGCACTTACTACAACAGGAATTTTCTCTCCAGACCCTGGACTGAGGGAGTTCTCTCGAGGCAGCACTCAAAGTGAGCTATTTGTTCCATAATTAACCATTTCAGAGACACTGCCTGTGCTGCTGTCTAGACCTGGTCTGGCAATTCCCATTTCCTTGCGGGGTCTAATGGAATTGCTCATGTATCACATGTCCTTTATTTCACTTTACTTTTTTAACCATGAAATTAAATCTCTTACCTCATTAAAGAAGAATCTGATGAAAGGCAGATCTATTTCAGGGTGAGTTGATATATTTACCACAGTGGTCTAGGACTGCCTGACCTCCAGGTTGCTGGGATTTAATGTGGGATCTACAATAACTCCAATGTTTTAACTGGGCAGGAAGAGGCTGAGAGGAAGGAGAGCACTCAGGAGCAAAATCTGCTCTTGAGGGAGTGTAAATCAAAAATAACCTTGCTGAAAAAACATGTCATTACTCAGGTTTTGATTGGTGCAAATGAGTTTTGCCTCTATATGACAGGTCAAGAGTTTGGGAGGAGGAGAGGAAATGGTTAATGTTTCACCACACCATAAAAACCCAACTGTGTCAATAGACTGAATTCCACCTGGAGACAGAAACTTGCTGGATGTGGTCAAATTTGACATCAGAAACGCAGAGGTGCAGCCTCCTGTACAGAAGGAGGAAACACAAGGCCAGACAGAATTCCTTGCTGGGGTGTTTTTTCATCTCTGGAATATGAATAATGTGATCATTGAAAATGTGGCTCGGGGACCCTCAGGAGTCTGGGTGTGCAATTCTCAAATTCCTGTACAGGTTAATAGGTCTGTTTGGAGAAATGTCAACAATCTGGCCCGTTCTACAAAGCTTTCTCCAAATGCCCCCTGTCAGTTTGGCTTGGAAAGCTGGCTGGGCACAGCAGGACCCCAGCTCTCCTCAGAGACTGGCTGGGCACAATTTGAACGTTTCTTGTCCTTGCTAAATGCAAATTGCACCGGAGGTTTGGAGGATTGCATAAACATGACGATGACTTGTTTTTCTAGGGATGAAATTTCCTGATCACAGACCCATCCTGAAGTCAATTATTGGGAAAAAACCAAAATATTTCCATTCTGCAGACAGGGTGGGCAAAGGATATGAGGGGACACCCCCAAGGTCATGCAAGTCTGAGTGCACATCACCACGTTAGAAACCACTGGGACCTTAGTGTGACTTCCCAGTGCTGGATAATCATGGAATAGCATATTTTAGGAGTTAACTGTCCCTCTCACCAGATCCTGGCATGAGTATCCACAAAAATAATGTTTTCCAGGAGCAAAGGTCTACATTCAGACCAGCAGGGTTAAGGAGGGAAGGAGGTTTTAGAAACCATCTCAACATCTTTGTCATCCTCAGGACCAACAGCTCTCCAGTCCCTGGACCCTCATGCCCTGGACAAGCCTGCCCAGGATGTGCAGCTGTCACCAGACTGCTGCCAAAATCTGGCTGGAGAAGGATCCTTCTTCACTCATTTTACACTCTCTGCACTCCAACCCCTCTGATTCCTCCTGCCTGCAGTGGAAAGGAGAGGTAGAGGAGCAGCTCCTTGGTACCTTCTGTCCCCCCAGCCATTTGTCTCCTCATTAACCTGAATTTGGGACCCAGGGAAGAGGTTAGAAACAGCTTGTAAAGGTATTCATAAACTACCATGATCACACAGAGCTTTTGCCATCAGCTGCAGCCTTTAAATGGTGTAACATGGTTTGATGTCCAGGCAAAATGCGATTTATAAATCATGAGAGCAGCTGATGCCAACTGGTTTTAGTCTGGATATGAATGGGTGTGAAGGCACAGAAAATCGAGTTTCTATACAGATATTTTTACTAACATTTGCCTCATGTCACAGGTGTGTTTCAGAATCCCTCTTTGAGCAGCACAGAACTGGGGAGTTTATTTGTCTACACTTGAGTCAAGGTTCAGCTTCTCTCCCAGCACTGACCTGCAGTGCAGACATCCCCCAAGGCTCCATAGAAGTGTCTGGCTCTTTCGAAAAAAAAAGAGAAAATAAAAGCTAAAGGTACTTGCCAAATACCAGAGACTCCCAGCAAGTGAAATATTTTGGGGAGTGACTTTTGGGCTGTGCTTTCCCCTTCAGCCAGGGGCTGAGGCTGCACCTTGAGCTCTGTGTGAAGCTGCAGGACAGCTCTGCACTGGGCACGGTCCTGTCTGACTTCCAGGGATTTTCCACTTCCCTTGAGCATTCCTGCCTGCCGGGGGTGACTTCCCTCGAGCTGCTGAGCACTTTCAAACACATTTTAAGCACAAAAGAAAGGAACATGACAGCTGCATTGGGGACTGCTAATAAACAGGGGCTTTTTAAATGCTCTGAACAGATTGTAA